AACTAAATGAAGCCGTTTTGTCCATAGTGCCTCCACCATTTATTTCATTGCAACGCCTTATCTTCATGTAGAAAAATAAAGAATACATAAATAGCATTATACGATTAGTTGCTGTCAGACTTCCAAAGTAAATTAGGCAGGAAACATGAGTAGATGAGCTAATTCTACTTTATTGTAAGGATACCTTAACAAGATCTTGCAAGTTTGAAAGTACAAACTTCCCACCACTATTTTTGATCCTTTAGGGTGGGTCCTTCTGTCCTTCTCTGACCATTAAGCCACTGGGGGCTCCTGTCTCTCATCTCTGATTGTTTCCTAGGCAGCACCCTTTCCTTCCTCCCACAAGGTCATCGACACATTCCATTACAACAGCAGAGTAAAGATCTGCAACTAAATATGTTCATTTGAATGTGACATATTTGAAAACTTCTCAGTTGGTCAACAATCCTTGATCCCTTTATACATATTAAGTAACTCAATGGACTTCTGCCAACCTAGCAGTTCGAAAGCATGCAAAAATGCAAGTAGAAAAATAGACTACTTTGGTGGGAAGGTAACAGCATTCTGTGTGCCTTTGGCATTTAGTTATGCCAGCCATATGACCACGGAGATGTCTTCAGACAGCGCTGGCTCTTTGCCTTTGTAATGGAGATGAGTAACGCTCCCTAAAGCCAGAAACAACTAGCAAGTTGAACCTTTACCTTTAACTCAATTTAATTCAAGTCAATTCAAATTAGAAGCAAAGGCAATTTCAAAAGCCCTTTGGTACAATCTTGATAATATGTCTATAGCTTACAAACACTATTTCCAAAATCAAAGTGAATATGACTTTGAACTTTATGAACTTGAAAATCTATATAAAGAACACGATGTTTTCTCAATTATTGGCATCTTCCAAGATATTAAGCACAAGGTGCAGGTCTGACCCAAATCATTTTATTCAGCCTGTATCCTCTATGTAGATGTACTATGTACTGTACATCTGTGTACTACATACCTTGCATCTATGTACCCTGTGCACAATTATGTAGCAAGCTCAATGGGTGAAGGTGAACAGAATGTGTGGAGATAAAAAGCAAAATGAAGTAATAAAGGAAATCTTCTGCATCTTGATAAAGAACAAGCATAATTATTGTCCACAGTAAAAGCTGAATCTGGTAATTGGGTGGAAAGGGAATTTAGGTGTTTTCAGATTAAATCAATTCTAAATATTATAAACATCTACTAAAACCTTTTAATTATATTAAAAATCAAATTAATCATTGTGGCATGTGCTAGAAATTTAACTGGAAGCAAATTTCACTCAGTATAATTAGACTGACATAATTTAATGCTTTTTACATATGCTTTTTAACTATGATGTAATTTAATGAAAAGAGCATTAGTCTATTGGGGAGAATAATAATAACACTTCTGCTAGAGGAGGTAGTAGAATGGATTTTCCTAATATAAGAAGGCAGGCATCATTTTTGGCCTCTATGCTTTAAAAAAATTAACAATAGATTGCATTCTACATTATGCATATCTATATTATGGCTTTGTGTTATTATGTCTCTTTGTATACTGTCCAGAGTCATTCAGAGGGATATGAGCAGTTTCCAAGTATACTAAATAAATAAAGTAAATTAATTTGTCTTAGCTTATAGAAATTTCTGTTCTGTAAAAATATGAATACAGATTATAAATGGAATGATTTGTTACAATGAATAGCAGAAAAAATGTTAAATATTCATTTACTAGGAAACATAGAAAGAATACTGTGTGAAAACTAATCTTATGTTCCATTTCTTTGGAAAATAGTATTTCAGAGCCACATTATATATTGTGTTGCGTCTTTGTGTTTAGATCTCATCACAAATTGTTCTTTCTGTAAAATCTGTTATTGTATTCCATTTCTTGGACTGAGATTATATGTAGTTTACTGAAGATTTAACTCATTTCTGCATACTTTAGTTGAGTGAGTTTATCCACCTGTCTCTTCTTATAATGCTAAAACAATGGAGAAAATAATGAGATTAAAAATATGAGTTTGCAATTTTTCCCTGCTACTGGTAGTTGAAGTTTCCCCAATAAGAGAAAACTTTGTGAAATTAACTAGCAGTAGTAGTAATAATTGCCAGATTTAGCAACTTTAAAAGTTCATATTGGAATATATTAACAGGAAAACAGAGTTTAGATCTTGGGAAGTAATTACAAGTAGTCCTCAACTTACAACTACAACTGAACTCAACATTTGCATTGCTAACCAAGACAGTTATTAAGTGTGTTTTGCCCCATTTTACAACCTTTCTTGCTACAATTGTTATGTGAATCACTGCAGTTGTTAAGTGAATCTGGCTTCCCCATTGATTTTGCTTGTCAGAAGGTCACAAAAAGTGATCACGTGATCCCAGGGCACTTTAGCCATCACAAATACATGCCAGTTGCCAAGTGTCCTAATTTTGATCACGTCATCATGGGGACCCTACAAGAGTCATAAGTGTGAAAAACAGTCATAAGTAACTTTTTTCAGTGCTGTTATAAATTCAAAGGATCACTAAATTAAGGGTCGTAAGTTGGTGACTACCCATATTGCCTATTCATGTCCATCCTCTCATGCTCTGTATCAAGAAGTATATAATTTGTATTGTTCCTCAAAATTCTCCTACCATCTGTACTTTTTAAAATGGATAAGAGAAGGTTTCCTGTAGTATCTCAAAGGTACCAAAGCACCATCTATAGCAGGGGTGGGCAAACTACGGCCCGCGGGCCACATCCGGCCCGTTGGTCTGTCCAATCCGGCCCGCCCCTGAAAAAAAATCACTGGCCGTGGCGTATTGCCCTGTACTGTGTGGCCCCCAAAGCTGCAAAACAGTGCGGAGCGCTCTCAGGGTAGGAAAGAAAAGAAGAACTTTGCAAAGGCCTCGGCTGGGAGTTCGAAATCACCTTTGAGTGCGATCTCTCCGAAGGTGAGTCCCCGCCGATCCCCCTTTTTTTTCCGGGGCTTCCAGGCTTAAACTTTGCAAAGGCAAAGTTTGCAGGTGGGAGCGTCTTCCGGCCGAGGAGCGGGAAGGGTTCCACCCGGCGGGCGGGCGGGCTGCTTGGAGCGTGCTGCTTGGAGCCACCTAAAGCTAGGCCACTGCTGGTGGAGCCTTGCCCTGCCTTGGTGCCCCGTTTCCCGGCTTGGCGGTCCTGCTCGGGCGGCACTTTAAAAGCCTGCTCCCAGCACCTGAGCAACTTCCCAGCAACTTGTGGCTTCCTTTTTCCTCGCGGGTGCTCGCGCCTGGCCCCGAGCCATGCGGCGGAGGGGAAACCCGGAGCACCTCCGGGTCGCCTCCTCCAAGCAGCCCGCCCGCCCGCCGGGCGGAACCCTTCCCGCTCCTCGGCGGGAAGACGCTCCCACCTGCAAACTTTGCCTGTGCAAAGTTTAAGCCTGGAAGCCCTGGAAACCCGAGCAACTTCCCAGCAACTTTCGGCTTCCTTTTAACTCGCGGGCGCTCGCACCTGGCCCCGAGCCGCGCGGCGGAGGGGAAACCTGGAGCACCGCCGGGTCGCCTCCTCCAAGCAGCCCGCCCACCCGCCGGGCGGAACCCTTCCCGCTCCTCGGCGGGAAGACACTCCCGCCTGCAAACTTTGCCTGTGCAAAGTTTAAGCGTGGAAGCCCCGGAAACCCAAGCAACTTCCCAGCAACTTTCGGCTTCCTTTTAACTCGCGGGCACTTGCGCCTGGCCCCGAGCCACGCGGCGGAGGGGAAGCCCGGCAGGTGGGCGGGCTGCTTGGAGGAGGCGACCTGGCGGTGCTCCGGCAGCAGCAACAGGCAGTTCCGCCCGGGCTCCGCTCAGGTGTCCGGCTAGGGCTGTCAGGAGTTGCTACCGCCGGTGCAGCTCCGCGCAGCTCCAGTCCCGTGTTGCCTTGGGAAGGAAAAGGCAAAACCAGGAGCCGCTGAGCCTGAGCCTCCGGTGCCGCTGCCGTTTCAAAGCACCACCGCGGCTCTTCCTTTTTGCCTTTCCCTTCCCGAGGCAACGCGGGACTGGAGCCGCGCGGAGCCGCGCCGACGGTAGCAACTCCTGACTCAGGGGGCCTCCGAGGGGAGGGGAAGGAGGAGAAGGGGGGGCGATTCCCAAAAAATCTTGTGCTGACCCGGCCCGTCTGTCAAATTTTAAAAGTCAATGTGGCCCCCGAGCCAAAAAGTTTGCCCACCCCTGATCTATAGCCATCACAGACATCCTGTAACACTAATGCTATAATTATTGCCTGCAGAGAAAGTTTCTGAACTTTCTCTTCAGGAATCTCTGCTAAAATAAGGCAGAATTTGAAAGTATAATCTGGGCTTGAATATCCTGATGTGGCCTGGTTGTGAGTATGCCATGGCCCAGTAGTGGGCCGTGGCCCACAGGTTGGGGACCCCTGGCCTACTAGGCAAGCAATTGAGTTCTGTTCAATTCCTTTGCTGACTTTATTGCATCTATATTGCATCTCTCATTTAGTGTGATTGCTGTTGTAAAAGTCTGTAGTTCTCTTGCACAAAGTCACAATTGAACTGGTTCCACTCCAACAGGTTCATCCCCCTCCCTTGTTATTTCGCTGTTCTAAAGCCTGATGATGAAATAAGTCCAATCTTGGAAACAGTGCAGTATCTCAGCAACTTATCTATGTAGTTGTCAGGAGTCAAGACTGACTCAAATGAAAATACATTTATGTGCAAAACAATATGTACATTATATAAAATACCACCTGCAGTTATGGAGACAATATATTTCTTGTTATTTCTCATTGTTTCTCATTTCCAGTTGCTAGGGAACATAATGAGAATGCTGTTGTTTCATATTGGTTGGGCATTCTCATTTCTTCACAATGAAATACAGTATCATATATGGAAAATATAAAAATAGTTCAAATCATGTTTTGTTTACCATTTTTTATCACATCATCTAGTTGTGGTATTTATAAGACATACTGTAAATTTATAGTGTTCACTGTTTGGATTTTACATTAAGAATTTATTCTAAATTCTTTTCTAGATTATAGCTTTGCGTGAACAAAATGCACACATACAAAGAAAAATTACACCAGGAGAGGGTCCACCTGATACAGAGCATATCAAAGGAATGGAGCCTGGACAAAAAATTCATGAAAAGGTATAAATTATATTTTTTTCTCTCTCTCTTTTTAAAGAGTCATCAGGGTTTGAAAAGCTAGAATCACTTTACGTTTATTAAGCTATCAAATAGTATAATTATATATAACATAAATTGCCCAGAGTAGCTGGAAGCTTGTAATAATAGTAGTAGTATTTTGAATTGCTTCAACACATATCTGTATAAAATTAATTGTTCCTTGAAAGCAGATGCTTATTCAGTGTAATAATTCTCAGTTGGAGAAGAACTAGCATGTTGGCCAAGTACAATTCCATATACATGGTTGTTTCATTTGGAACATATATGAAAGTTCTGTAGTTTGCTCTTGAAGCTCTGAAGAGGTTGAATCAATAGAAAATAATGTCCTAAACTGTACATTCTGTAAAATTAGGCAACACTTCTCATTGTTCTGATTTTATGGTCCTCCCATTGTATCTACGATGTATCTATTTTTTTGTTAGTTCAGATCTGAAAATAAATAAAAAGGTGGTCAAATTTTGTGTCATGACCTGTAAGATTAGAGAATAAAAATGTATCATTCTCCTTTAATTGGAACAAAGCAGTCTCCTTAATTCTGAAATATTTTTGCTTTGTCATTTTTAGGCTAGATCATCATATATTAATTTATATCATCTTGAAAATAGGTGTGTAAGATCTGACCATGAAATAAAGTTATTGGATTTTGTTTGACTTGACTATGTAAAATAATATATATCAAATGCAATCTTTATCTAAAATCTTTATTAGCATGTCTCATTTTACAGTATATTGGAAGGCAACATTTAAAATGTTTTTTTATAGTTTTCTCATTTGTGTAAGGATGATAGGCTTTTTGCAGTTAACTGCACAGTCCTTACAATGCTAGCAAACCATAAAACTATCGGATGTCTGACGCTATTAGGACCTTGGGTTAAAATTCTATTTTTATTTTTGCTGCAAGGATGTTATTTATAAAAAATTCTACTTGTAATAAAATGTGAAGCATTCCATAGATCCGTGGAGGGTTCATAATGTGATTTGATAACCAGAGAATAGCATTTTTTAAAAAAAAGTTTCCTTACATAAAATAATTTCTTAAACGAGACAACAGGCCAAAAAAAAAAAAAAAGAGAGAGAGAATGCTAACCAGAATCCTGCATTTTCATGTGTTGTTTTCAATAAACAGAGATCCCAGCCAGTATCTGAAGACTGGATGGCATCAGTCATTTTTCTGGCTCATTTTGTTGCATACTTAGATAAGGCTGTTTAAATGGCTAAAGTAGGAACTGTAGTTCAGCAATGCAGGCAGTCCTCAACTTATGAATGGTGACTTAGCGACTGTTCAGATTTATGGCAGACAACCCAGTTGCAAAGATCCAGTGGCCATCTCCCCCCACCTAGTCTTATGGATGCATGGTGAGGACAAAAGGATTTATGCATTTACGCATTTATGACCGTTTGCAGCATCCCACAATCACAAGACTGCATTCTTTAATAGTTTTGCCAAAAAGTGGCACTTATTTTCAGTTTTCAGCAAAACTGGTTTATAGGAAACCATTAGTTCACTTAACTACTATAACATGCACTTAAAGAATGCTCAAAACAGGATGTAAAATTGGGTCAGTCACATTGGTGATACATTTTACAGTTGTCTTGATTTGCAACTGTGATGGACAGGCTCCATTATGATTATGAGGACAACCTATATTCAGCACCATTAGTTCCCCTCCACAAGATTTAAGTTCCACAAACTGAATCTTTAACACAAATATAATAATGAAGAATAAGCTAGAGATCCACAAATAAACAAATATACTAAGAATAAATTAAGAGTTTCATCAGTAAATGGTTTCACTCAATTGGACATGTCTTAGCTAATCAATTTTATATAAAGGGTTAGTTCAGCATTTGTTGCTATAGCTAGAGAATCTTTTAAACACAAACCTGCCATATCTTTGTAAATATGTTTGTAGAAAATTTAGTATAGAATGTTAAATTATATACTGACAATTGCTAGTATCTTGATGAGGTTATATGGCTATTTACAATACCTGATAAACTGCATAATTATGTTTTTGAGAATGCCAATATATTAAAACAAGAAAATACTAGGCAGATTTTTTAGTTTAACAAACCTAGTAGCAGTTAATCAGATTATAGTCTTTTGAATGATTAATTAGCTAAGCACATCTTTCCAAATATCTTTCATGCCTGAAATATGCCTTCAGAGAATGATCTGTTGTCCTTGCAGCAGGAACATACTGATTTCAATGCACAGGCAAGAAATAGAACAGATAACAGAATGAAAGAGTTGGAAGGGATCTTGGAGGTCTTCTAGACCAACCCCCTGCTCAAGCAAGAAACCCTATACCATTTCAGACAGCCGCTTATCCAATCTCTTCTCAAAAACCTCCAGTATTGGAGTTTCTGGTTCAAGCAGAACACAAGCTTCAAATCATAGAACATTTGTGCATTTCAGACTCATATAAAACATAATTAGGCATCTGCTAATAATGTCACATTCTCTAGAGAATATACGTTTCCCAGAGTATGTTTCTAAAGATTCTATGACTTTTTCATGTGTCAGGAAGTTCAAGTGTGATTCATTGACTCTGTGGAAATCAGCAGGAGGCAAACTGTTTAGATAGCTTTTATGATTTGAACAAAACTGTTAATGTTAGTCATTTATAAATATCAATGATTAATTGCTGTTTTTGAGCCAAAAAATAATTGTGTGAGTCAATAAGCACATACAGAAGTTGACCAAAATGATATCCCACTAGCACAAAAGTATTATAATCTTAACATCAGGTAAATGTTTATATAGCAATCACAGTGGCAGCTTTTATCTCTTCTGAAGGTTTGAATCCTTTCCCATAAAGCTATTGTTATACTTTCTAAATATATTTATCTCCGGTTAAAGCTCAAAGGAGTAGAAATACTTAGAATCTTGAAAGCAATCTATATATTTTATAAATAAAGTCAAATAATTCATTCAAACAATTACTTCTGAAAATAAGCTGAATGATACATAAACTAGGAATTCATTCCAAGGCTTTAAAAATTAAAGGAAATATTTTAGTATTATCTATCAGTATTTCACAATAATATTCCTATTGTATTAACATTAAGTATGTGTTACTTTGCTGTTCCAATACTTCCATATAAACTACAAAAACAACTTTGAAAGAAAATCTAAAATTCTAAATTCTTCCAAATGTGGCTGGTTTTATAGGTTAAATATAGTTTAATGTTCGAGTACTTCTATGTAGATATCTAGTCTTTTGTAAGTATATTTCAGAGAGCATAACCAATGTAGAGTTCAGAATTGGTAAGAAAATATAATCTACATATCTGTATTTTTGATCCTTCTGATCCTTCTTGCTCTGGTTCTTAAGTATATTACTATCAGTGTTTGATATGTTCGTGGGGTTTTTTTGAACAGCGTCTATCAAATGGCTCTATAGACTCAAATGATGAAACTGCACAGTTGGTAGAACTGCAAGAACTTCTAGAAAAGCAAAATTATGAAATGGCACAGATGAAGGATCGCTTGGCTGCCCTGTCTTCCAGAGTTGGAGAGGTGGAGCAAGATGCAGAGACTGCTAGGAAGGACCTCATTAAAAGTGAAGAACTGAATAGCAAATATCAGAGAGATATTAGAGAGGTAAATCTCTTTTGGATGTTCATCCTGTCATTTGCTCAGATTGAGAATAATTTTATTTAGGGAAATGGAGTTCTTCCACAGCCAATTCGGGAAAAATAAATTTGCCTTTAACATTTAACAGTTTAAGATGTTTAATTGTAAGTGAATATTCTAATAGCAGTTGTACTTTTGTATCCATGTGTAGCAGTTTAAGCACTATTTTGCTATGACTTACTATGAGAAATAAAAAGCTTGCTCTGTGAAACATCTCAGAGAGAGAGTTAATCAACATGGTACACTATAGAAACATAATTTTCAGTGCAAGATTAGTCAAGAAGGGTAGGTAATCATCAAACATAGTACTAACCATTATAAAGTTGTTTGTAATATATTGTTTCTATGATATTTAGCAAAACTAAATGAAAGTTCCTAAATTCTCTTGCTAACTACTCATTCCAAAATGATGAGATATTGAACAGAACTTTATGTTGTCCTAATTTTGTTAATTTACATCATCACAATGCTTTTTGTTTTGCTATTAAATACTGTGATTTAATTTCATTTAAAATCTCCCTTTAATTTTCAAGATTTTCACATTGTAAAGAATTACAATAGGATAAAAAGTTGAAGAAAAAGCAGGAAATATTCCAAATGTTTATAAAATATAATTATAGAATATTTATAAAGCATGTTTATAGAAATACAAATTATCCAGAAAAGTAAAATGAATGATTTGAATGATTTGAAGAGTTACTTTGCATTTTAAAACATGTCTATATTTGTCAGGAAACAACTTTGTTATGTTTATCTTTTATCATAAGATAATATGAATTGTCCTCATATCCAAATCTTAGTTTTGAATTATGGAAAATACGATAGAAAAAAACTAAATTATTCTTACCAAAGACCATGTTCTTTTGTAAATCAAGTTTTACAGGTACATTCACCGCCAACGATTTAGCCCTTTCTTATCTAAATTTCCACGGCACCCTATTTTTATTTGTATTTTCTGTTAGATAACCAGGATAAATTTGTCTCTCTATATTTTATTGGTCAATTATCAAATAAAATTGGTCTAATAATATTTTATTATTCTAATTTTGTTACATTATGTAACAACTTCACCTACAAATGGTTGCCAATAGTCACAGATTTAGAGATTAACCTTGTTTCGTTTGTTTTACTGCGTGTATTTTTACATGCAGTTTCTGTCTGTCAAAATTATCAGTTGTATTTCTTTTTTTCCCCTTTAACTTTCTTATATTGGAAGGATGTATCTGTGCATATTTACTACTTTGTTGGTCACAATGCATGTAAGAAAAGATGTAGAGGCAAAAAAGTATAAGACAGAACTAGCCACTTAACAATATTTTTGTAAATAAAGTCAATTTATAATAAATGGATGCAATAGTAGACAAGCAAGCAATATCAGATTCGGATATTCCTTGTCTGCAAATCCAATATTTGGATCTGCATCAGGATCTTGGAATTCTAACCTTTTTTATCTTAGAATCTGCACTTAAATAATTTGTCCATTAGGTTTAATACTGAACCTGCTTTTCACTTTTTCTATTTCTAGGTGAGTAAATTTCATTGCAAACTTTTCCTACAGTGTTGAATAGGACATCTATTGCTAGCTACTCCAATGTTGTATTTTGACCTGCTACTTATTCTTTCCAGGCTATGGCCCAGAAAGAAGATATGGAAGAAAGAATAACTACCCTGGAGAAACGTTACCTAAGTGCACAGAGGGAATCTACTTCCATACATGATATGAATGACAAACTGGAACATGAACTTGCAAACAAGGAAGCCATCCTGCGTCAGGTTCTGTATTGGGATTGCTGCTACAGCTCAAATGAATTGTAGGAGAAACTATTAAGATAAGCTCCCTCTTCCCCTATTTATTCATTACATTTCTTTCAAATTATGACACACTTGTTTTAGATTCATTGATTTCTATAGATTGAAGTCAGGAATGAATGTGTATTTTCATACAATCAAGTTGAGAGGCCAACATAAATCATGTGTAGGATTAAACCTTTTTTTAAAAAAAATAACTTGCTATCATGAGAAGGTATTGTTTTGGAATTTATTTGGTTGTAAGACCAGGTGTCTGCCAGGTTAGTACAGCAAACCTTTAAAAATATCTTAAGGTAAGACAGAGGCAAACCAAATGAAAAGGGTGTCAGATACATAGCAGCAAATGTAGGCACACATTCACTGTACAGGTAGTTGTAAGGACTGACAATATTCCACACATTATTTTATGCTAATAAACATAGTTTAATGGTAAGATACAAAATGTCCAATTTTGATTTAACTAAGAGTAAATCATAGTAAACACAATTAAACACAAAAATTGTTCACCTTTTCAATGAGACTAGTAAAAGCTAAGGCAAAGGGACTGCGCTCTAATTTGGGCACAAAAAGAAAGAAAAGATATGGCAGAATATTCTCCTCTTGGTGTATGAAAGAGGTAAATAAGCTATTAATTGCACTCCCCTGCTAAACTTTATGAACTTTATAATCTGCAAATGGCATTCAATCATGTGAACATTTATTTAGTTTATTTTTACATAATTATTTACCTTGCTTTACTAATTACAGTTTAGGAACAAGAAAATACTTGTTCTTAAGCAGCTGGCAAAGAATACTAACTGAGATATAGAATTGAAGTCCATACAAGATAGAAATTAAAGTTTCTAAAACAATGATAATGTAGGAAATTGTGATGTGTGTATATGTGGAGAGAGGGGAAAAAACAGTACATGGGTTGTAGAATATATTAAAATTCAGTGTGAGATTTTTATTATGCAAATTTAGAATATCCTTGTACATAAATCCATAGGTGCTATTTATAATTTCATCCGTTTTCCTATCATACTACTAGTATAGTGTAGAGAGAGGTGGAATATTTGGTTGATGCAGGAGCGATACATAGAATGGCAATGAAAGCTGGATTAACTTACTACGTTTTCCCACCAAGACATTTCTCTTATTATTATTATTTTCTTTTAATATTTGAATATTATATTTATTGGAAATAAATAACACAGAAAATATTTCATTCATCAAAAAGTTTCATTGGATTCATTCTGTTTCAGTTCTGAGAATCAGATTATTATAAAGCATAGATATTTTTTTCTATTTAAATTGAGTTTGTTTTGCTCTATTTCTTTTAATTCCTAAATTGACAGTGAAGAAAACTGCAGCTATCCTATCCCACTCTGACTTTTCATGTCAAGGGTCTTCAAACTTAGCAAGTTTAAGACTTGTGGACTTCAACTCCTAGAATTCTTGAGCTAACATGACTAGAGGAGGAATTCTGGGAGTTGAAGTCCACAAATCTGTCGAGTTTGAAGACCCCTTATTTATATTTTAGAGGCATATGATAAGAAAGGATCAGCAATTGCCACCAGTATATATGCATGTACTATTTACAGAACCAGGAGATTTACTTAACCTATTAACAATGTAATTATACAATGAACCATGTTGGTTTGGGAAAATTTTACTCTCCAGATGTTTCTATGAATCTGTATTTTTTTTCTTCTCCATTGCCCAGTTCCTAATCTAACCTTTAATCTTACAATTTCTGGATTTCAGATGGAGGAAAAAAACCGGCAGCTGCAAGAACGTCTCGAGCTAGCTGAGCAAAAGCTACAACAAACAATGAGAAAAGCTGAGACTTTGCCAGAAGTAGAGGCAGAATTGGCTCAGAGAATTGCCGCACTGACTAAGGTAATGTAAGTTTAAGAATAGGTTAGTATCTGAAAATTGGCTTCTTTTAACATTGATTTTTCATCCCTTTCTCCTCCAGCACCATCAGCAACAATAAAAGACTTTTGGAGTGGACAAGATGATTCTACTTAATGGCACCGTAAATAAATATTAATTAGACAAAATTACTTGCTTTAGTTTAATTTAATTTAATGGCAGAAGTATTGCTTTGTGTTTCTTTTATGGCTTGATATATTTCTGCCAATATACCAGAGGAGTTTATTTTATAATACATTGTATTATAAAAGAATTATGATTAACCCAGTTCAGCTAAACATCATGAAATTTATTTGTCATTGCATTTTCTTCATGATTTTCTACATCACATTGATTCAGCAAAACACAGAGATCATTTTCATTAAGATAAATTTCAAGGTTGAATATTTTTTTTCTTCGCCACACATGAAGGATTCTGTGTTGCATGACAGCATTAAGAGCTTGGATAGGACAAGTGCCTGATAAACTATTCCAGTAATATGCAGTCCACATCTCTGGAATCCATGGTAAAATGTACAAGTTGCCAACTTAGTTGTTCTGAAAGAACAACTTATAAAAAGTAAAGGCACACTACACTATCCTTTGCAGTTTCTTTTTATTGACTTTCAGACCATAGTATTTTGCTTTGTATTGTGGAATTTCCCTTACATATCTTATTGTGCGACAATCTCTAGTTTGTCTTCTCAATACTTACCTCTTCAATAAAGATGAAGAGAAATTATATAGTTGATATTGAAAAGTCTATACAAACTTAAATGAATTATATTCAGTAGAAAGAAAGCCATTTCAATTAAAATGTTATATTTATAACTCATAATAATAGCAAATGATATAAAAATGATTTTGTGTTTCCCTGCTTCCATTTCAAAATATTAATGGATTATTCCTATTTGGTTATCTATTCAAATATTTTTCAGTTGCTCATGCAATCATTTAATGAGACAATGTTTTCCTGCTCTGTTAGGGTTTCTGGTAATACATCAGAAAATGGTGTGTTGAAAAGAAAATGTCAATGTACATGAATGTTTCTACATTATTTTCTACAGAGAGAGTACATGAATGAATGTTTTTGTATATTTTTTGTATCTTCTAACCAGTGGTAGGATTCAATTTTTTTTACTACTGGTTCTGTGGACGTGGGAAGGATACTGTAAAATCTTCAGTCAGAGGTGGTATTTGCCAGTTCTCTGAACTATTCAAAATTTCCGCTACTGGTTCTCCAGAACTGGTCAGAACCTGCTGAATACCACCTCTGTTTCTAACTAAACAAGTTAAGACAAATGCATATATTAATGCTCTATAAAGCAACATTTATTATTCCAACTTAGAGTTGTCTAATTTAGAATTCTCTACTAAGCAGTCAGGTGAAAATAAGTATAAATTTTAATTTTAAATATATAATCTACCAAACAGGTTCAGCCTTATCTATTTTCTCTACTGTCTCTATGTTGATGACAAAGGGTAATATTAATATTTGCAGTGATATTACTTAAAAGCCATTTTTGCTAAGCTATAGATTACCTGTTTCCAATTTTTCCAAGTCTGTTGTTCAATAAATATTTATGGTTTATATAGTTCACTTAGATTTTTATGTGTAAATTAGATTTATGTGTAGCTTAAATGACTTTAATTGAATGAGGCAGGAGGAAGCTACTATTTTAACGAGCCAACTCAATCTGTGTTCTTTCTTGATATAGAGATGTTAACTCTCAAAACTTCCCAACCAGCTGGAAAAACTAAGTTAGAGGGCCCCAAATTAGATAATTACATTGTACACAATATAGTTAAAATTGGTTCAAAATATATATTTAGTACTTGCCCCTTCTTCTAAGTGGCAGAAACATCAAGCAAAAACACAGCAGGGATCTTCTTTGAATTGTGAGGAGTGGTAGGCAATAGTTCTTACAAGTGCAGCTCAGGCTCAGCCTTTAATCTTCTATAATATAACACTCAATTGGCAGTTTGCTCAGAGATCCAGTAGGAGGAAGGTATGTTGGATATGTTCGTTACCTTGAGTTATTTTTAAAAATAATAATGGCAGAATAGAAATAAATAAAGAAGATAAGGACCATCAGCCTACTTCATCTAACCAATCCAAATCCAATCACCAAAATAGGCAGGTGGTTCAATGGCTCCATATTAATATCCAAATTTGAGGGCCATTGGAAATTATATTATATCACTATGTCCTTATCTTCTTTTAATGTCTCTTTAAAGTATATAGTTGTTGTGGCCCATCAGCTGCTAGCAGAGCTAGCAGCAGAGTCAGACGAGGAGATCGAGGGGGAGCCAGGGCCGACTTCAGAGCCGTTGGAAGGCTCTGATAAGTTAGCAGGATCAGAGGCAGATGCAGAGCCAGGGCCTTCCATCCTTCCTCAGGTAGAAAGGCAGCTAGCTTCAGGACCTGAGTTGAGTGAGGGGGAAGAACAAATGGGGCCCATCTCAGGTGTGTGTGTGTGCGTAGAGGAAAGGAGAGGAGAGAAATGGAAAGCAATAAGACAGCTCTCAGGGAAAAGAAGACATAGACGCTAGCCAGCACCTCCTTGGCTGGGAAATAAATAGTAAGAGTTTGGGAGTGGCCGGTTGTTGCAGACAACCATTCATTTTCCAGGGTACATTAATCACGTCAGATTCCTTGCCAGAACCAGGTTTGTTGGGAATAATTGCTCTATATTTGAGGTGCCAACGGAATCTCCCTGCTGGGAAATAATAGGGAGTGAATTTGCCTCAGCTGATGTAAACAGGGACTGTTTCTGCTTGGATAATCATTGAAAGGACTTTTTATCTTAAGTTCTCATGTGAACAGAGACTATTCTTGTCCTGTTTTAGAAGGGGAAAATATTTTGATTTGTGACTAATTACTTTTGGTTTTGTTAATCCAATGTGAACAAAGACTGCTCCTGCCCTGACTTAAATAAAAAAGGGTTTGTGTTACTCATGAGTAAGCAGTTTCTCATTGCTTGTGAAGGCTAGGTCAGAACAATAGTATTAATAACAGGAGCTCTGATGAAATGTCATGTTACACCAATTTGTCTGATTAAGCTTTTTTCCAGACTGACTGAATTATTATGAATTGTTAAGAGAGCTGAAGCCAATAGGCAAATTTTAATTCTGAGGAAGCCTAAACATGGTCTTAACTATGATTTAGTAACAGGACAGTGTAGATTATAGGTTTGGTTTGATGTCCTAGACAGTAGTCCACACAGTTTTGCCCTATGATAAACCATTTCATCTACTTAATGGTTACAGATATAAGAGTTTTAGTAATATATAGATTTAATGCTTCATCAATTTTTAATTTCAAAGAACTGGGAATTACATGAATTCTATATGACTAAAAAAAGTTCTGATTAATACTATGGAAGCTACTTTTCTGTATATGCAGTAAAAGTTGTTGACCAAATTCTATTGCCATAATTGATAGGTTATATTTATGAGATTATTTGGTAAGGACAAACTCTATGTAGTTTGGCCTGGGCAAGAAATGTAACCATTATAAATCAAAGCAAAGGTGATACATTTTAATTTATAATCAGATGCCCCAGTTTCCCAAGACCATGTCATGGTGTTGGGAAACACATCAAAATATGTTACCAAAATGGTTGAAGTGCAACATTATGACTTTTGGAGGGGAGAAGAGTAAAAGTTAAGAGTGATAATTTAATGTTTTTGGGGAAGGATTTTAAAGATGAGAACGAGAACAGTTTAGTTTTCTAGATGATTTCTACTGCTATTCATGCCTTAACTCCTTCCAAATCCATTCATGTGGAGTAGACTGCATTGATCGATATCAGAGCATATGATTCTGGAGTATATTGTTGATTCATAAAGAAAATAACTGAGTCTGATGAGAGTAATGGAAAACAGAAGTGCATAACACTTTCATGCATAGTTAATCTGTATACAGAAGAGTTTTTTTACTATTTCATAATGATGGAATTTTAGTTTATCCACTGAAAAAAATGCAGGAAAATTGTGGTCTGATAGTACAAAGTATTTTTTTCACACAGCACATAAAACTGACGAGTTTGCTATCAAGATAATGGCATCCAATTAAGGTACAACAGCTATCAAAGGGTTCTGAATGTGCCATGGAAGTTAAACTATCCATGCCAAATAATATATTACTATCTCCTGAATCATGGAGGAACATGCTTTGCTGAGAAATAACAGGAAAGGGATTAATGTGCCTTGTGGGCTTCTCACATATTTCAGTGGGCTACTGTGTGATACATAATGCTAGACTAGAATGTTCTTTGGCATGCTTCAATTGGACTCTTTTTGTATTTTTATCTTATAATAGTTTTTTTGTGGATCTGAAAATAAGTAATACAGTTATTGTCTTTGGGAACTGCTGAGGGTTTTTTTCCCCTAGGTATTCTAATTACCTCCTCCCGGATAATGGAAGAAAAGGAAAATCTGTAAAATATTTTTTTCTGACAGGACAGTAATGTCATTTGCCCAGATCATACAGCAGGATTCTAAGATTAGGTATTTAGAAAGTTTGACCTCTGAGATGTGTCCTGTTCTTTGGAAATAATATTTTCTTTATGGTTTCAAAGTTGAGAGTTTAGCTTTATTTCAGATATGTGGTAATTTTATCAATTTGATCCTTTTTGTAGTCAACAAAGGGACTATCAGTGAAGGGTATGAGAACATCCTTCTTATATTCATGGAATTTTAAGTAATAAAAATGTTTCCCTTTAAATAAAATAGCCATTTTTTAAAACATAGATTGAAGCAATAAATCAATTTTGTGCTTTGCAATGACTATTCAAGCTGTTTTGATTTATTCTGTAATCAGGACCTCGAAATAATCATTAGTGTCTTCTCTAATTTTTGCCATCAGGTTCAAATGCTTCTCACTGGTCATCTCTGATTTCTGCCAGAAGCTCAATACAATTTTCTGATTTTAGGACCTGGCATGGATAGTAAAAACACTACTGGCTGCATTTAGCTGGATAATTGCAAATTGTTTTCAATCAGTGTACATGTTTTTACAGAAGTAAAAAGGGCTGACTCAAAAGTGCAAATCTAATATTATACATTTAGACCATAATTATATGTTCATGTACTTAGAAATAAACCTGATTGAATTTAATGTGAGATATATTTTATAAGATTCACTTAAAATCGCATTGCTTGGGAAGTAAAGACAAAACTCACAACACGCTTCAGAGTTTTACTGAGTGTTTATAGTCAGCATAGAGTTTATGATAATCTATCTCCCCAGATTATAGTTTAGTGCTCCACAACAAAATGCTGAAGTTATGGTCTGTGCCCTTGGTAAAGCAATTAGACATTTGCTTTATATTCACTCCTATTCAGTACTTTTCATTGTAAGAGGACTTCTTTCTTTTACCTAGAAATTCAGTATCATTTAGTTATTTGCTTTTATACCTCAAAATGAATCTATGTGTCATTATTCTAAAAATGTTTAATCCATTTATTTAATACAATCTGTAACACTGTATACCCTGTTTTCATTATGATTGTAGGATAACCTTCAAAAACACATTCTGGCACTGACTTTTCACGCTCTAATTATGAGTTTACCCAAATTCCAATCAGACCTGGTATTTCTCATAGTTACTTTGAGTACCCCTCTATGGAGGAAGAATAATTCTCATCAGCCAGCCATCACTAACCTGGAATTTCCATACTTAGGTTGTTGGCTTTTTTAGCATTCCATTATTTTCACTCCATCTGTATCAACTGCCTCATATCACCCTATTGTAAGTGTGGTTTATTCTACATAAAATTTTGTCAGTTAAAATATTAAATTAGCAATCACACTTTTCTTTTAAGCATTCTGTGCTGTATTCTGTTCAGTGTGGTGTCTTTAGTTCTGATTTTTCAATTTTGTCCCTCTCCTTTTCTTTGATGTTAGTCTGATCCAACCTCTTCTACCTCATCTGATGATTATCAATATGTTATGGAAGCTAAACTACAAGAAATGATCTCCATACGTAGGAAGGTAGTCCTACAGGACTTTACTTTCTATTGCTAAATAGAATCCATCTGATTTTGTTTTTTATATTTTTAAGAACTCTTTTAATTTTTGTATTTATTTTATTGATAATCAACCATTGTGCAGTTCAATGCTTAAAGAGCTTACAATTTTATGATGGCAGGTTTGGGTTCAAACCATGCAGTCTGCATGTTACATTTGGCTGATTTCATTGCTCATGAATAACTCCAATGTTTTGCTGGATGCTTGGATGTAACAGGCCTTTGTAGCTGACACATTTCAAGCGATGCTGTTCAGCTGCCTGTTTGAATAAAATTAAGTTTTGCAGTTAGTAGTAGCTTGCTTTATATTTCCTTTTTTGAAAATGACCATTTTGATTTAAAAAGCTATTTAATGTTTCACATCAAATTATATTATTTTTATAGGCAGAAGAAAGACATGGCAATATTGAAGAACGCATGCGGCACTTAGAGGCTCAGTTGGAAGAGAAGAATCAAGAACTTCAAAGGGTATAGATGTTTACATTATATTTGAGTTCAACTGTTTTTTCCATGTCACATAAGCCTGTAAAATTATAATAGCAGTCATTGTTATTGTTATTTTTCATGAATCTATAGCTTGGTGCAGTACAATATCAGGATATTGATGGAATAACATACTACAATCCAGTTTAAAATTATAGTAGAACTATAGACTCCACTCTGTGTATCAGCAGATGTTTTTGTCCCAATGATAAAAGCAGTTGACTCAGTTAAATGTTTCACACAGTTTCCAATTGAAACAGTCTATGTCAGAGCTGTCAAACTCGTGCCCATGGACCAGATGCATCACACACTGGCCATGTCCACGCCCGCTTTAGTAAAGGGGGGGAAAGGTTACGATACATCATGTGATGCCACCATGACAATGCGAGTTTCACACCCCTTGTCTATGTGAGCTACTGACAGTAAAAAGAAATTGAAAGAAAGATAGTCTCTTAAGAATGTTAGATAGAAATGGAAAGCAATACTGGATGATAACTGGAATACACAGAAGAAATAATTAACTTGTTAAACAAAGGACCAACTTAGGTTTATTTTGAAGAAAATAAGACCAGTTGGTTCATTTAGCCAGCCACAATTATATGGAGTTTTGTGGAGGGATAGAATATGCTTCAAGATGCCCCTATTTAAAATATCACCATTGTTGTTGATCATAGGCATAATTCTTACGAAAGCCTGTAGATTACCAGCTATAAGGACGAGCCCCAAATTGTAGATTCATTTATTTGTTCATCAAATTTATACAGTATGGCACCCATCTCATGCAAAAGTGTTTATGGGCAGCATACAACAAAACTATAAAACAATTAATATATAAAACAATTATTATTAAAACAATATAAACAATTTAAATGCAATAAATTAAAGCATATAAATACACAGAACTAATAATAGCTTAATAAATTGTCTTTAGTCATTGGTTACCTAAAATTTTACTGTATTTTCATGTGAACATGAAAAAGTGAGTTCCAAAGACACTTTTCAAACAGCAACTGGACTTTCTTTGCTTTTTCTTTGAAAACATTTAGCTTCTCATATAAGAAGCTTCTTCAGTTTAAGTGCAATGTATGATTATTTGTGACCCTTCTAAATATTGATTTTAAATTACAGTGACCTTTTGAATATGAGTAACAAATGAAGACTACATATCTCTATTAGAAGAAAAAATCAGAATGATTACTTCTTACAACTATATTTGAATATGTGACTAAATGTTTTGACTAATAAATTTTTTATTTATTTCTCTGTGCAGCTGCTCAATTTTATTCTCTCTTTGAAATAAATTTGTTTTTGTACAAACTATTTGATCATAGTATTAATATTACAACTTCAGTTCAAACAAACCAGTGTGGATATTTGACCAATATTTTGAATTTAATTAATGTTGAACCTGCGTGCTTTATTTCCTTTGAACTTTATTGAAAGGCAAGACAAAGAGAAAAAATGAATGAAGAGCACAACAAAAGATTGTCTGATACTGTGGACAGGCTTTTGACAGAATCTAATGAACGTTTGCAACTACATTTGAAAGAGAGAATGGCAGCATTGGAAGAGAAGGTAAACAAGCAAATAATGTGCACATTTTTTTCTTCATTTGTGTATATATTCATAGTTATCTTGCTTCTTCACCTGGAATGAAAGCATTAAAAAATCTGAGGCACAATCCATGGCCTCAATAAGATTCATTGTTGTTATGTTTCTGCAATTCCTATTAACTTTCTTCATCCTTCAACTTCTCATATTGGCACATGGGACCACCACCAGAATTTAAAAAGTTTACAGCATGGTTTTAGTGGGACCTTGCCCATTTCTACTCTCTCTCATTGTCACTACTTTCACTTCTAATAACCTTTGGCTAGAGTCCCAACCTTGTGGTACAGTCATAGCAGTTTGCCACACCTACAAAAACTTAATACTTATATGAGATATGCTTATCCATTGTACAGTGCTTCTTAGAATGTGAAACTCTCAATGTCTACATTCTGTAGTGTTAGTAGACAGGGGGTATGGATACCATTCCCTAGACATGGATGGCTGGGGAATTCTGGCAGTCCACGCTTCTTAAAGTTGCCAAAGTGGAGAATCACTGTGGTAATGGAATGAGGAGGTACAATTATTCCTGTTTTCTAGTCAGAAATTCTCAGCCTTTTACAAATGTCCCTTCATACGTGCTCTGATTGAATGTAACTGACAATGCCTACAGGTCACAAATGAAAACAGTCTCTTAATTTTACATTATTAATCATATGATGATATCAATTTCATATTTATATTAGTGGTAACATCTTTTAACATATTCAGTCTTGGATTGAATTAATGAAAGATTTTTAAAAATACCTATATGTTAGAGGAAAAAATAATTTAAATATTATTGATATGTGTTTTATTTATACGTTAACAGATTGGGTAATAATTATTTCACTAGACCTTATTTTAGCTTTTATTTCCATCTCCTAGAATGTTTTACTACAAGAATCAGAAAACTTCAGAAAGAATTTGGAAGAATCTTTACATGATAAGGTATTCTAGATTAATTACAGCATTTATTAATAATGTTTTTTAAAAAATACAATCATAATTAATTCAAGATTGCAATTATATGCACATATATTTGAGAGTAAGACAGTTGTCTTTATACAAATATTCTACACTAATAGATTGATTCAACATCTGTCTAGATAAAATTAATGATAACATTATGTTATTAATTAATGTGCTCATCCAAACAAAATAAAGAATTGTCTTTTCTTCTATTGATACTTATCTGTACCATTTACTGTTCTTTTCAAGACAGGTTTCTTTTTCTGATAAAAGTTTAGATTAGATTTCTTTATTCAAGAAACTTTGGCTTGTACAGCCACCAACATTCCTAGTGTCAGCTCGTAAAGCATTCCTATGCCTGTTTCTGAGTTGCCATAAGCAGGAGAGGGGGGGAAAAACCTGAAGGAACAGTACAGCAATTAAAAACAGAATACATTCCACACTTATCTTACAAAGATTGTAGCCTAAGCTACTGGATCTTCTGCCCGCAATACCCAGCCCATGTGTCCAACGTGCTTCGTTGGAGAATCTGATTTATGTCACACCCAGGGGGGAGTGGGGAAACAGGGTCACAGGTGACTATAAATTATGTGTGGTAGAATTGGCTTCATATGGGTCAATGCCAATGTGTTGCTCCTAATAAATCTTTTGGATTCTTTTGAAGCTTGGCTGAAGGTTCATGATTTAATTAGTGCAATTGCCAGAACCCTGATACCTAGCTTTGGTGATTATCTTTCCATTTTTATATAAAATCCCTTAGGTTTCAAGAGCTGAGGTTTTAAGGGTGAAGAGATTGGAATAGAAGTATTATTAGAGTTTCTATCCACCCTCATGAAAAGTACAAAACTGCTATGCATGTGTATGGTTAACAGACATAGTTCTACTATTTGTTCCTTTGTTGCATCTCTAAGCTACATTTTCTCTAACATGGTCAAGGATTTTGTGGCAGTATACATTTTATTCCCCAGAACTGCTCCTTATGATGTGGAATGGGCCCAAAGGGAGTAATTGGCCCAAGGTTACACAGTAGACTTCTTAGTTCAATTTGAATTTAACTAGGTCCCTGTGCAATTCTAGCATAATGTGTTCACCACCTGCTGTAACAATTTTTTTTGGTCACAAAACCAGTTAAACCTGTAGGCATATTTTATCAGGTGGTTTAAATGGTTCTTGCACACATATACTTTGCTAACAAATATCCTTCTCTAAAGATTTAATCTAATTCACCCTTCTGCTGTACTCTGCCTCACATAATTCCCACGACAATATGCTAGATAGTGATTGTGGAAGTTAACAATATATCTGCAAGGTATTACAATAGGGAACTAGTTTTATCATTGCCGCCTTCTGGGATTTTTACAGCTTCTCATGAGATTCCCTATGGTCTTCCATCCTAAATACTAACAAGATTTGAGTATGCTTAGCTTTCAAGCCCAGGCAAGATCATCCAGGTGTCATACTGAAGGAAAGAAAGCTAGATAACTCATGTAGAGATTTCTAATATCTGGCTCAACTATTCAGAGAGATTATATTATATGACAATAAAATTTGATGAATAATTTTGAACTACCATGTATCTATATTAATCAATTATTATTATTTGTTTATATTTTCAGGAAAGATTAGCAGAAGAGATAGATAAGCTGAGAGCTGAACTTGACCAGTTGAAAATACGAGCAGGTTCTTTAATTGAGCCCACATTGTCAAGGTAGCTACAAGAAAACAATGACATTTTCTTTAATAACATTATTTTGAAGTTTCAGTCATCATATATTTAAAACATTCTTCATCATCCATAACAGTGATTGCTGTTTACAGGATTGTGAAAGTTGAAATTTGCTGTCACCAGATATGACAAAGACACTAATTTAAATGGCATTAAAAGAAAGATTACTTCTCTGTGGCTAGGGAATAGAAATATCATGACTATTATTTAATTAGTCATTATTTCCAAACTTGGTAGCAGATATATTAAATATCAGCAGGTTGGAAGTCATATTAGAACAGAACTGTTCTAATATGGCTGTTTATATCCTTATGACACAAAAGCATTCATTCAATCATTCAATCAAATTTATATGGCTGCCCCTATCACCATATGATTTAATAGCTGTGGAAATAAAGAACTATCAACTAACTCAATAATAAAAATGAATCATAAGATTATAGAATCATAGGTTGGAAGGAATCTAAGATTATTAGTTAGGTTGTTGTTTCTGGATTTATTTTTGGTTATTTTATTTTATTTTTCAGTTCTTGGAACATTTTAATAGGAAATCAATTAGATAAATGAATTTCACTTATTAATTACATGTGTATTCCTATTTTTTCATGGAATTCAAATATTATAAATGTCATAGATCAGTAAAATCATTTCTGGTCTATTCATTTTCAGATGAGATGTTTCATAAACTATCTAGTTTTATACTAATTTGTTACTTAACTTCATTAAGTACATTCTTTTGATGATATTTCACCATTAAATATACATTTCTAAAATTGATTTCTTTTTAAATGCATAATTCTGAACATATATTGTTCTATAATATTTTTTTAATTGAGAGGTTCAGCGCAAATTCATTGGTATTGAGTTGATTTTGGTCTTGTTGATTATACTGTGTCATCTTTTGGAACTAAATAAATGAGCCTCCTCTGTCACTGCATCCGTCATTTGAAATCTGAATGGCTGCCATCTTGTTAGAATTGGGCTGCCTAGATATTTGACAAAGAAACAAATACGTCTTCATTTTAATCTTGGAAGTAAGAAAGCAACATTTTAGTTTATGTTGGTATGACCCAATTTCTCATGGCTTCTCTTTTAAGTCCCTCCCTCTCCCTCCCTCCCTCCCTCCCTCCCTCCCTCCCTCCCTCTCTCTCTCTCCTCAAGTTGCTGGTGAATTAAACTTTGAGTCTATATTTCCAGTCTAATTTTTCTGACAATAAAAACCATACTCCTACATATTGATTGGTCAAATGTATATTTTAGCTTTTCTTTTTTCATTAAAATGCAAACCTTATAAGTTCCCTTCAGTATACAAGGAAGCATACTTTGTTTTTATTGCTGTGTTGGTAGCAAAGATATATGCTGTATGTGGTAAAAATAAATATATTTTATGTGAAATTTGAGGGGTTTTTGAAAATCTAATTCCTGTGCCACAATTGTTTTTCAGGACACATCTTGATTCATCAGCAGAACTGAGGTACTCTGTGAGCTCAATAGTTGATAGTCAACCAGATTATAGGTCTACTAAAGTGATAAGGAGACCTAGAAGAGGTCGTATGGGAATCCAAAGAGATGAACCAAAGGTTTATATTTTAATCATTTTTCCTTTAATAAGATTGCAATCATAAGCATAGCTGATTTAAGACATGTTTCCAACTAAGGCCAGGACTGGAATTAACTTTCCATAATCCTTGCGTACTTCTATAGATAATAGCTTTAATTATATACATCATGTGGATTCTACAATAGGATAATAGATTTGTTTATTCATTCAGTTGGTAAGGCCACATTTCTTAAACATTGGCTCTGTTTTTGCAATTCATATATTTAAAATGTAGAAAAATATGTGTTTCTGCATGTGCATGTGCCCACACACACTTCTAATTTTTTAGTCATATTTGGGCCTAAAACCTTTTGAAAACCTCAAAAGCTTCATATACTTAGACACTGTGTTGTGCTCAGTGGATAATCTGGTCTGACTGAAATTATCTCTCTAATAACTCTTACTGGGTAAAGTATATATTATCTAAATGCTATAAAACAATTTTGATATTTGAGAAAGAAGTGGGATTACATACTTTGAGCCTTAAAATTACACTAATAATATAAATCTTTTTTTAAGTTTTATTTGTTTTATTAGTATAATATATAAAATTAGTGTGTATATATATATATATATATATATATATATATATATATATATATATATATATATATATATATATATATATATATATATTCCATTTCAATCAAACATTGTACAATTATTGTACAATTTTTAGGCAAACAATCAGGGTGTTTACAATAACGTGTATTACAATAACATTAATACTATAGTGGCAATAATATTTTGTTTGTCCATTTTAACAAATTTCCATTTTAATATTTATCCTTTTTATGTCCCTTTCTTTCTAACTTCTGTTTTTATTGTCTAACCATCGATAAAATAAGTCCCATGTCAAAAAGTCCCATGTCAAATTTACTTTCTTCTTTATCTTTGATAGTGTTAGTCTATTCATTTCTGCAATTATAATATTTTCTTAATTACCTTCTCATCTCTTGGGATCTCATCACAACTTCCGTTGTTGAGCATATACAATTCTAGCTGCAGTTAGTACATGTAAAATCAAGTATATAATCTCTTTATCATATTTTTCTGGTAGAATGCCCAATAAAAATATTTCTGGTTTCATATCTAAATGCTGTTTTATCATTTTTTCTAACCAGGTATGTATTTTTGTCCAATATTTTTTAACTTGTGGACATGTCCATCACATATGGTAATATGAGCCAGACATTTGATTACATTTCCAACATTTAGTAGATCTATCCTTATACATTTTTACTAATCTTGTTGGTGCAAAATGACATCTATAAAATATTTTATACAGTTTTTCTTTGTATGCAGTTGACATAGTCAGTTTAACATTTCTATCCAACAGTTTCTGCCATTTATCTAGTTCTATTACATATTCAAAATTTTAGCCCAAACAATCATTGTCTCCTTTACCTGCTCACTTTCAAGTTTAATACCCAATAAATAATAATATATTTTTCTTTGTCAATTTTTCATCCTTTCCAGTTAATATCTGGTCCAATTCTGTTAGTTCTTTATTAAAACCATATATTTTAGCATCTTTCTCCTACCGAGATTGTATCTGCATTTGTGGCCACCATGTAATGTCCCTCCTTTGATTACTAAATTCCTGCTTGGTTTTTAATTCCCCTCTTTCATTCAAAATATCTTTATATCTTACATTTTTGTCCGTATTAATAACATTAGAATGCATCAATGCTTCCATTGTGGAAAGCCAGAGTGGTATTTTCAGGTAGTATTGTTCTTTAATTTTAAGCCAGACTGATAACACATTTCTAACGTAATATCTTTGAAAGTAACTATGTATCTTGTTCTTCCCATACCATAGGAAAGCATGCCAACCCTTCTAAAGTTAATAGTCTTTTATGCCTCAAATTAATCTATTCTTTCACCCAAATTAATACCGAGGCCTGGTAATACAATTCCCAATCTGGCAGTCCAAAGCCCTCTCTTTTTTTGGAGTCTTGCAGCATTTTCAGACCTATTCTTGCTTTCTTCTCTAACCAAATATATCTTAATATTATCTTATTTAATTCCTCAAAATATTTTCCCCACTTTTATTAGTATTGTTTGAAATAAATATAATAGTCTTGGCAGAACATTCATTTTTATAATAGCTATTCTTCCTGTTAATGACAGTTGCAAATCTTTCCATTTCTCCAGGTCTAATTTAATTTGTTGCATCAGTTTCATATAGTTATCCTCATACTCTTCTATCTTTTTAACTAGCTTCAGTCCAGTTTCTAATGGATCTTCTAATATAAAAACCAGGTTGTCTGCAAATGCCTGTAGCTTAGAGTTCTCTTTTTTATTCCCATTCTTTTTATTTCTTCATCTCGTTGAATGTTTCTGGCTAATACTTCCAGAATCAGTATAAATAGCAGAGGGAACAGTGGACATCCCTGCCTCATGCCTTTTTTATATCAAAATTCTCTCCATTTATCATCATCTTAGCTGATTGTTTATGATATATTGCTTTAATCATATTAATAAATCTCTCTCCAAAGTCCATATATTTTAATTGTAATAGCATAAATTGCCAATTAACATTATCAAATGTTTTCTGTTCATCTAAGAAGATCAAGCCATTTGTTTTCCGGGATGTGTTTCATAGTATTCCAGTGTATTCAAAATCACTAATAATATACTTCTAATATGGTATAAAACATATACCACAATTACAAATCAGAGTATAAGAAGAAGAAATGAGATAGAGCCATTTGCTATTTATTACATCCAATTTTCTGCTCTATGCAATTTTTTTCAGGCTAAGTCTTGAAATATTAACTTCTATTCTATTTTGTTTACTGGATTGCAATCCATAGACAGGACTTAATGGAGATTCAGTTTTCCAGTATAGTTTAATTTTATTGAAGCCTTTAAAAAATAGCAATAGCACTTAGACTTATACACTGCTTCACAGTGCTTTACAGCCCTCTTTAAGCGGTTTACAGAGTCAGCATATTGTCCCCAACTAAAGTCTAATCTGGGTCCTCATTTTACTGACTTTGGTAGGATGAAAGGCTGAGTCAATCTTGAGCCAATGAGAATCAAACTGTCAAACTCCTGGCAGCTGGCAGTCAGCAGAATTTGCCTGCAATATTGTGTTCTTACCACTGCACCACCATGGCTCATTATAAAAGTATAGTGTCTAAAAATATTGCCTTTAATCTTAAATAATCCTGGGATATCCATAATATTGTACTATGAATTTAAATTGACTTACAGTGGTAGTGGTCACCAGGGCAGAAAAGAACTTCACATTTCCTGCCTTAAACTATTTCGGGCCTCTTGTAGGATAAATCTTGTTATTTTTATAACAGACTGAAATTAAGATCAGTGTGATAACATAATGCAGCTGTTAGAAATTAACAAGAATGGTTTAAGTGCACAAATGGCTGAGAAAATTAAAAGTGTTAATAATTGCATTGGTGTTTTAAAATATAAGTTTTACTGTGAAAATTAACATTTAGAATCAGTCTAATCTATATACATTCTACAATTTGTAATTAGGTAAAATCCCTTGGAGAGCATGAGTGGAATAGAAGTCAGCCAGTTGGGGTTCTAAGCAGCCATCATTTTGAAAGTGACACTGAAATGTCTGATATAGATGATGACGATAGAGATACAATTTTCAGTTCAATGGATCTTTTGTCACCCAGTGGACATTCAGATGCTCAGACCCTTGCTATGATGCTTCAGGAACAACTGGATGCAATCAATAAAGAAATCAGGTATGCTTACTTCACACACACACACACACACACACACACACACACACACACACACAAAACCTTAGAACAATCCAATGTTTTGCCTGCTAATGGGATAAAAACTAAGTTGATGTGATTTCTGGTTTCTTCGTGGACATCTGATTTTCTTTGAAGCAATATAAAAATGGCTTGCCATTTGCTTTCTTCTGGATTTTTAAAAATTGTTAATATAGGTTAATTTTTTGCAAACTCCCCAAATTAAAAGATATTACTTGTCTGTTCACCAGATTATAGTCAGTGTTTCTCAAAGCCAAAATATCTGGGAGAAGTTGACATTAAATGAAACCTAAACATTGTAAGCACATAGAATATGAAATATGAATAGGCAAGCAAAAATCAGAGATGAAAGTTAGAGCAGTATTAATATTTTGTCTACTCTTGATGAACAGTATATTTAATACATTGAAAAAGAGATCCCCGTTGGTAAAAGATGAACATGATATATTATTCTTTGCTATGTAGTTAAAAGGTAAAGGTTCCGCTTGCACATATGTGCTAGTTGTTTCTGGCTCTAGGGCACGGTGCTCATCTCCATTACAAAGCCAAAGAGCCGGTGCTGTCCAAATATGTCTCCATGGTCATATGGCCAGCATGACTAAATGCCAAAGGTGCACAGAATGCTCTTACCTTCCCATCAAAGTGGTCCCTATTTTTCTACTTGCATTTTTACATGCTTTCGAACTGCTAGGTTGGCAGAAGCTGGGACAAGTAACAGGAGCTCACTCCATTATGTGGTGCTAGGGATTTGAACTGCCAACTGCCGACCTTTCTGATCAACAAGCTCAGCGTCTCAGCCACTGAGCCACTGTGTTCCTTATAACTATGTATATTTATAACTATATAATTATAAACCTCTAATAATTATGTAGTTGCAGGAAAAAATAATGTCCTTTTTCTCGTGCTATTTTCTTGAGCTAAACTTCTTGCCTTGAAAGCCTGTTCAGCCTCTCTAGTAAAAGCATATGAGCGCAGCATATTTTCTGAAAGGAGCAAATAATAGCTGGCAGATGTAACTAGAAATGATATGAAATTTAAAAAGTAAACTATCATTCCAGCAGCTCAGTCAATTCCAATTTGTACTCGTGGCTACATTAAAAAAAATATTAAAAGATGAGAAATTTCAATATTTCTTACTGGATATCACTTAAACTTATTAAACAAATTTATTTTTTAAAATGGCAATTAAATTTTGTGCACTGATATTGAATCTCCATCCCACTATTTTTGATGACAGCATATTAACTCAGTGGACAAAGGGCGGGAGAGATAATATGCAGCTCTCTGCTCCAATACCTTGCAGTCTTTTTTTGATATCTGACACTTATGGTAATCACTCCAATTTGCTTTGAAAGTATGCCATTCCTGTAAAGTATTCTGAGTAGTGGTCAGGGAGAACATTCCCAACTCCTATTAACACTCATACCGTGTTTCTCATATAATAAGGCTGGGTCTTATTTTTTTTTGAGTCCTGAAAAAATGGCTAGGCTGTCTTTTCGGGGGTGACTTAATTTCCCCCCCCCCTTGCATCTTCGGGCAGGCGGCGACAGCTTGGATGTTGACCTCGGCATTGGTGGGGCACTTCGTATCGGGGTCAACACAGGCAGCACCATATCCGGGTGTGCAACAAAAGTACTTCCTAACGGCAAGCCCCCCCCCACCATTCCCCACCATTTCGCATGTTTTAATATAGGCCTTAATTTGGGGGGAGGGGCTTAATTTTATTTCATGCCTATAAAACATGCTGGGACTTCCTATTGGGGGAGGCCATATTGTTGGAGAAACAGGGTATTAAAACAATATTCTCATAAAAATGACTTACCTTTTCTTGGTTCATCATTACAGGTTAATTCAGGAAGAAAAAGAATCCACAGAACTACGTGCTGAAGAAATAGAAAACAGAGTTGCTAGTGTGAGCCTAGAAGGCTTAAATCTGGCCAGGGTTCATCCTGGAACATCTATTACCGGCTCAATAACTGCATCTTCATTAGCGAGCTCCTCTCCGCCCAGTGGCCACTCAACTCCTAAACTCACTCCACGCAGCCCAGCTAGGGAGATGGATCGGATGGGTATCATGACACTGGTAAGAAGTACAGCTTTCTCTTGATCACTACCTTTATTTAATATCTAAGGAATCGTCTATGTAGGGTTATTTTTTTCATTTCTTGTTTATTTCTTCTTTTTTATTATTATTGGTTTCTTTGTGTGTGTATGAGTGCATGTGCATGCACTTGTGATAATGTCTTATTGACTGTTACCACAAGTCATTATAAAAATTTTATTGGGACCAATTCCTAGTGTTAAGGCAAGATAACGTAAAAGTAAAAATAAAATTCTAAAAACAGAATATGTTAATAAACTGTTAACATAAAGACACTTGCTATCATTTGTGCATTTGGAAGACAATACCTGGTTTTTAAAATGTTAATGATATTTCTTAAAACTATACAGTAGAACCTCTGTCACAAACGCTTTTGACCACAACCAAATCAAGTTCCGACCAAAAAATTCACATTTTTCCCCTTCTGCACCATTTTTTTGTGAGTGCCAAATTTCTAAAATTAAGTTTGGGTCATGACCAAATCAGGTTGCAACCAAAGTTATGGAATGAATTATGGTCATGACCAGAGGTTCTACTATACATGTAAGTGAAAACCCAGTCTGGTCTACCTCCTTGAGTTCCAGCCAAATTCTGTTTTGGATTCAATGGCAGTAGCGCTGGTGTAATGGAAGGAAATTTCATCATAAGAGCCAATAGTTCTTATGCACTTAGAGAATCTCAGAATGAATCTTAATAAAAAAGTAACACAAGAGTTATACAAATCTATATTTCTGATAATACTCTGTTTTTCTTTTCTTCGTTATCAACTCTAGCCAAGTGATCTCAGGAAACATCGAAGAAAGGTACATTTTTAATTATATATATTTGGGGGTTTTTTTCAGACAAGGGTTAATTATTTCTAGCACTTTCAAATTCAAACCTTTACAAACATTTTCCCCAAGATACAGTTTTCTAAGGATGTGGAAAGCCTTCAAGTCCCAACCCTTTTGCTTTGTTGTAGTTGAAGCAGCTAATTTGGATGATCCAAGAAAAGATCATTGCATTCCTGTGAGGCAGACATCACCTTCTCAGGAAAGCCACATTGGACCTTAGATTTGTAACAAAATGGAGCCCTATCAAAGTGTTTAAGTGTCACCTCTATTAGAAATTAATTATGTGACAGCATAAAAATATTTTTGATATTTTTATACTGTATTTATTAAACATATCTCACCTTTTCCATGGAAGTGTTTTTTTCCAATTAATATTTTGTGAGGTATGTTGGTCTGAGAAATAGTGGTCAGATCAAGTCTCTTTGTGTGCTTCCTCAGCCTCTTTATGTTGATGGACTTTTGTATATGCTAATTAATGACTGATAATTTCCTTACTGTTGCCTCCCCTATTCTAGCAGTAAAATTGTTTAATATGATATAAATGTTTCTGGTTTTATTACTTTTATTATGCTCTAACTTTGCTTTGAATTTTTTTTAGTGATGAAAAAAACACAATAAATTTCATTCAAAAATAACAATGTTAGCTAAAAGCCAACAAGTTCAAGAATGTCATTCTCAAAACTGAACCAAAATAAATTAGACGTGAGTTTGATAGCCCTGCTCTACAGTATCACAAAAATACTACCTATTGCAGAATAGCATTGAATTTGTTACAAGGCAAAGAAAGAAGAAAGCTGATCAAGAGCAGAGGGTTAGATTGTTAAATGAGGCCACCTCATTTGTTAAGCAAGGCCACCTCACAAAATGGCCATCACCATTTGCAACCATAATAGGCAGGCTCCAGTACAGTTTTAACTAAAGGACAACCTATATTGGATTCACAGAAAAGTCCAAGTATATGAGGGACCAATTTTATCTACCAACATGTCCATTTTACTTCAAACATTATTTATCTGAATGGTAAAGTTTTCTTTTTTATGTACACTAAGAGCATATGCACCAAGACAAATATCCTTGTGTGTCTAATCATACTTGGCCAATTATCACACTTGGCCAATAAATGAGTGAACCATTCACTCATTTATTAAAGGGCAACAAAAATACTTCAATAACTCATTTGAATCTTGTTATTTAGTCCTTTATTAAGATTTAAAGATGAGAAAAGGTTAAATAAACTTTATTTCCAATTATATCCTACTTTGCATATCCTTTCCAACTCAGGAAAACTGTCTATAATTTTCTGAATTAAATAATAATAATAGCAACCATAGCAATAGTTAAATGTGTGCCTGATGTCATATTCAGTCCTGGAAATTGGAACTATATAACTATCATTGTATAATTTGTACTTAGCACTTTTATTCTATATCTTGTTCTAGGATGGAATGCCATTTGTGTGTTTGGTTGATTGATTTCCTTACTTGGAAAGGAGTTGACTTTCCAATAGTTTTTTTTCTTCCCAGCCCCTGCATTTTATAAAACTGTTTTTCACCTACATTTTATAAAACTGTTTACTTGTAGATTGCAGTAGTTGAAGAAGATGGTCATGAAGACAAGGCCACAATAAAATGTGAAACGTCTCCTCCACCTACACCTAGAGCTATTAGAATGACTCACACTCTACCTTCATCATATCACAATGATGCCAGAAGGTAGGAATTCATTTGTTTGGCATAGCCATGTATTGTGTATCTTTTAAGTGGGATTCATCCATTTAAGTTTCAAGTTGAGTTTCACATGATTTTTGCTATGTGCAGTTGTCCTGACATTTATTTAGATCAGTTTTTCAGATATGCTTTCCATTTTCCATTTCCAATTGAATGACTGGTCTTTAATTTCATGCCCTTTTTGATTAATCAAGTGAGGCATGATCATTTTC